AGAATGCAAAGCAGCTTATGAGGACTTTATTGATAGAGATCCTTCAAAGTTTTGTAAGGCATTTGTCTCTTTTCTTCCTAGGTGTGATATGATTGAAAATAATGTTAGTGAAACTTTCAATGGGTTTATAGTTAGGGGAAGAGGATATCACATCATTGAGATGCTTGAATTTGTAAGGACTGAACTAATGAATAGACAACATAGGAAATTTATGGAGTTGAGTGGACATCCTGACAAGCTTTGTCCTAGAATTGGATCAAAGGTAAAACAGAATAAATATTTGTCAAGAGTCTGTGCCACAAAGCCTGCAGTTGGTGATAGGTTTCAGGTTGCTTTACAAGATGATCAGTTTGTGGTGGATTTGAGGAATAATACCTGCACTTGTAGACAGTGGGATATAACAGGAATACCTTGTGTGCATGCTTGCTCAGCAATACACTTTCAGCATAAAGATCCAGCAGACTTTGTGTCTGAGTATTTCTATACTGAGAGGTACTTGAGTATGTATAGCATCTCATTAGAACCCATAAATGGCAAAAAGATGTGGCCAACTGCACAAGGTTATCCAATCTTACCCCCTCCAATCAAGAAGATGCCAGGAAGACCTAAGAAAAAAAGAAGAAGGGCTCCTGAGGAAGAAGCCACAAGTGGAAGCAAGTTGAGAAGGTTTGGGTTGATTATGACATGTCAGAGGTGTTTGCAAAAGGGGCATAACAAGAAATCATGCACACTGCCTCAAGTTGAGAAAGCTGCTAAGGTTTACATTTCAATTAATTCATAGTACTATGTTTTCTTATTTTTTTCTTTACATTCTTTAATCATTGTAATTTTTTATGTACAGAGACCAAAGGGAAGGCCCAGAAAGCATATTGCACCCCACATTGTGCATACTAGACAACCACCACAAAATGTGCACACTAGACAACCACCCCAAACTGTTGTTCAACCACCCCAACCTGAGGTTCAACAACCCCAAACAGAAGTTCAACCACCCCATACTGAGGTTCAACCACCCCACACTGAGGTTCAACCACCCCATACTGAGGTTCAACCAAACATGGTGAACATTACAAGCCCAACAGTTGAGACAATGACAGGCCCACCTTTTGAGAACATGACAAGCACACAAACCGGTTCTGTTGAGAAGATAAATAAAATGTCTGTTAGGAGGTGCAGTCCTCGGTCATCAGTCATACAAAAAGAAAGAGCCTTGGTAATACTTTTATATGGTTAATTTCTGAATTTGGTACCAATCATTATGAGTAACAATTATTTTGTTCATTTGTTTGGCAGGCAAGGAAAGGTTTTGGTATATTACAATCTGAGGAAACTGGTAATGTCTACATGAAGGTATGGTTCTTTTAAAGGAATATACTATTTCTAAAATACAATAAATTTGACTAACATATGGGGTAATTATTGGATATTATAATGCAGTTGTCATCTGCAAAAAAGATTCATGTGATTTCAACCACTGGTAGAGAAACAGGCCAAAGCACTGGCTCAACTAGAGGGAAAAGCAGTGGGTCAAGCACTGGTAGAGGAAGAGGGCAGAGGACAGGGTCAACCACTGGTAGAGGAAGAGGGCAGAGGACTGGGGCAACCACTGCTAGAGGAACATGGCAGAGGAGTGGGTCAACCACTGCTAGAGGAAGAGGCCAAAGTAGTGGGTCAACTGGAAGAGGCCAAAGTAGTGGGTCAACCTGGAGGAATATCCTTAAGATCTTCTTCAATTTTAACATTTATACGATTTTTTGGTTCTATATTTTCACTTTCTGAACTAGAGTCGCTGTAATTTCCAACGAATTCTTTTAAGGACAATATATTCTGATATTTGTCTAATAGAGTGTTGAAATCAATTTTGGGAGCTAAGATATTTTGGAACTATTTTCTTATTTCTCAGAAAGTTAAAATGAGCGAGCTTACAGGGATGACCTTATATCGAGTCCCATGCACCGTACACATGCAACAACTAAAACGACAGCATTTTTAATATGTAACATAAACGCACCACACTAATAAAGTCGCAACACGCCTTTAGAAGGCAAAATAAAAGAAAACTAAAACAGCAAAAGCTGAAGGTAAAATAGAAAGCAGCAACAGGGATCTTCTTCTTTGCATGGAAGTGCACCATTCCAACAGCGCCCCCCCTCCCTCCCCTCAAGTTGGGCATGCAGGGAAGAGGACGATGCCCAACTTGGACACCAGAATACGAAATTGAGAACCAGTGAGGACCTTAATGAACAGATCAGCTAGCTGAAGTCGAGTGGAGACATGCAAAGGTTGAACAAAGCCAGACTTGAATTTATCCCGCACAAAATGACAGTCAATTTCCAGATGTTTAGTACGTTCATGGAAAACTGGGTTGGCTGTGATGTGTAAAGCAGCTCGGTTGTCACACCAGAGTGGAATAGGATATGTCAGCTTCACAGAAAACTCATGCACAATATGAGAAACCCACAGCAGTTCAGAAACAGTGGAGCTAAGTGCTCTATACTCGGCTTCTGCAGAGGACCGTGAGACAGTATTTTGTTTCTTACTTTTCCAAGAAATGAGACAGCCCCCTAGGAAAATGGCATAACCTGTGATGGACCTTCTTGTGTCCTTGCAAGCAGCCCAGTCTGCATCACTGTAGGCTGTGAGCTGACCATTGCTGTGATTAGAGAAATGAAGCCCCAAGTGAGCTGTCCCTTTGAGATATTTCAGAATATGAGTAGCAGCCTCCCAGTGAGAAGTGTATGGATCATTGACAAATTGGCTCAACTGTTGGATGGCATAGGTAAAATCTGGCCTAGTCATTCCCAAATAAAGCAATCTCCCTATGAGTCTCCTGTATTGGTCAGGGTTGGTAAGAGAAAACCCATCCTTACTTTGTAATTGTAGCCCATGTGGTAGAGGTGTAGCTGCTGCCTTACAGTCCTTCATGTGCATGTCTGCCAACAGATCCAAAACATATTTTCGTTGGCAAAGATAGGTACCAGCAGTATCTCTTAATACTTCAACTCCAAGAAAGAACTTTGTTGGCCCCAAGTCTTTAATAGTAAACTCATGATCAATGAATTGTTTAAGCTGAAATATGAGGTCCTCACTGGAACTAGTTAAGAGAATATCATCCACATAAACTAAGATGGCCAAGAAATGACCACCTGAGGTGAGAGTAAACAGACAGTGATCAAATGCTGATTGTATTAAACCAAATTCAAATAGCTTCTTGCACAGTTCAGCATTCCACTCCCTTGAGGCTTGTTTCAGGCCATACAAGCTTCTGACCAACTTGCACACTTGCCCCTTTTTTGCTTTAGAATAACCCTGAGGAGGTGTCATATAAACTTCTTCAGTGATATAGCCATGCAAAAAGGCATTGTTAACATCGAGTTGATGTAGGGCCCAATTGTTCATTGTAGCCATGGCTATAAAGATTCTCACTGTTACTAATTTGGCCACAAGAGAGAAAATGTCAAGATAATCCACCCCAGCTATCTGATTATAGCCCTTAGCTACAAGCCTAGCCTTGTATCTTTCAACTGTTCCATCACTTTTCCTTTTTATCTTATACACCCACTTAGACCCAATAGTCTTCTTTCCTTGTGGTAATTCTGTAAGTTCCCAAGTGTTATTATGCTCAAGGGCCTTAAGTTCCTTTTGCATTGCATCCACCCAAATAGGACTCTTGCAGGCTTGTGTGTAATGAGGTGGTTCTCTGTCTAAGCGAACATTGGTCATGAAAGTGAGATATTTCTGACCTACAACTGACTTTGCTTCATGCACTTCACTGCAAATGTAATCCTCATGCCATTTGGGTGTGTGCTTAACTCTTGTACTCCTTCTTAACCCATCCTGCTGTGGAGTATCAACAAAGTTCTCAGGTGTGGAATCATGAGAATCCTCACTTGTTCCTGAATACTCACTAGAATCATCAATTTGTGGCAAAGGTATTTCATCAACTTCATCTGTAATACCATTGCTGTAAGGAAATGTTCTTTCTATGAAGATAACATCTCTTGAGATCAGCAGAGTTTTAGAATCCAGATCATACAGTTGGAATCCCTTTTTCCCACTTACATATCCAAGAAATACACATCTCAACCCTCTCTTGTCAAATTTTGTCTTCCTGGGATCCACATTGGCTGCATATGCCAAGCAACCAAAGGTCTTGAGAGAATGATAGTCTGGCATTATCCCATACATCCTTTCAAAAGGTGATTTCCATCCCAGCAAAGCACTCGTATTTATAATATAGGCTACAGTTAAAATGGAAAATGGCCAGAAACTCAATGGTAAGTTGCTTTGAAACATTAATGCTCTTCCCACATTCAATAGATGCCTATGCTTCCTTTCAACTACTCCATTTTGCTGTGGAGTATATGTGCAGCTTGTCTAATGAATAAT